GTTTGAAGCGGAGACTCGGGAGAGGTCTTCAGGAATCGCCTCGAAGGCTAAGATTCACTCTGCGAATCAACTTTGGCATACGGAGGTGGGGGTGGGGGGGGAATCTCAAGATTCCTGGCCCCTGCTGGGTCCTTATTTCCAGCAAAAGACTTCTAGGCATCATGAGCCAGGTGGAGCTATCCTTGTCAGCAACATCTCCCCAGCACAGCCAACGTGTTTGTGGCTCGGGAAATTTTGTCGCGAGGCTAGTTAAAACAGGGAGAAGTGTTACGACCATGACACATCGCAGCTGCCATTGGCATACAACTCCTGCTTTGCTTCTTCTCTGACCACCCATTGTCAACGTCTTAACCGCTGATGTCGAGTCCTTATGTCATGGCACCTCTCCTGGCAACACCCGTCATGCTGTCGGGCCAAATGTTGAGGTGAGGTATAGTAACGGTTGGTTGCAGATCTTGGTGACTGCAGGTGCAGATGTGAATGCGAAGGACCTCGGCGGCAGCTCATGTGGCGGTGAAGATCCTTATGCTGGGTTTAGCTAGCGGGTTCAGTTGCAATGGTGCGTTTTTGGTGGTTACACTGCTTACTAAGGCCGGGACTTGTCCCGCATGCTACGGAAAGTGCTTGAAATGCTGCTATTTGCAGGTGTTCACAGTAGTGGCATTGCATGCCTAGGCTTTCTCAACACAGCATAGAAAGGACTCCGCAAGACAAAACGCGCTATGCGCGTTTAGTAGCAACGTGTGCCGCGTTTCTGCTTGTTTTCTGGGGTGGGGATGGGGTGGGGGGTGGGGGGGGTGTCGTCTCCTTCACCTGGCTGCAAGTCAAAACCTATTTAAGTTCGTGACATGTCTGCGTGAAATTCAAATCATTTCACCTGACAATTGCTTATGAAGTCTGCACCCCTGTTCGTGAACCCCCTGGGACATCCAGACATCGACAACGATAACTTGGTTGAAACCATCTAAAACATTTGTGTCATTCACAAGCCAAAACTCGCATATGCTGCAAAATGCGACATATTTATGACTTTAAACCACACTTGGAAGTGAACCCGCAGAGTGGGTTTAGGGTTAGGGTGTCTCCGGTCTTGCGGTTGTTGCTGTACCTCTCTCTGGTCGGATGTGTGGCAGAAACAGCAGAAACTTCTAGGAAAGCGGGTCTCCGCAGCCCGAGCCTACCATTCCCAGTGCGTAGCTTTTCATGCTCTTGTCCTCTGCTGGACATAGGGCAGGTATGGGAAGGTTGGCTGGGGCTAAAGCCTGACGTCATGACTTCTTTCATTGATGGAGGCTAAGTTGATCTACACAAGCCTAACTAGGGGTTTATAGGGTACAGGGTTCTGGTTCTGAGCTTCAACATCAGCTTGAGCAAGGCTCTAAGCAGTACAAGCCCCAGACCACCTGAAGCCATAGACCCTAGCACCCGAAGCTCAGAGCCTGAACTCTTTCTGCGGGCCTGTAGTCCTACCGACGACGTGTCAGAGCAAGGGAAGGGCCCAGAAGCAGAGCCCCCATGGGCAGGACAAGGACGGCAAAACACCGCTTCACTGTGCTGTCGATTTCGGCCAAGAGAGGGCTCTCCAGGTTCTTCTTGACGCAGGCGCAGCTGTTGCTTCCCGAAACTCACTTCTCGCCAGATAGGAAGAAGGTGTTTGGGGAGGCAAACGGCAGAGGTTCGGCGGGGCGTTTGTGAATTGAGGGTGTTTGGGTTGTCGCACCTGCTGTTGCGGCATAGATGCGCCGTGCAGCTTGATAGCTGGTTCTCCAACACCCCAGCTGAGAGTTCTGAGTCTTAGACATCTGATGATGGGGCCATGCAAGGGTTCTCAAAGAAGGGTCGCCCCCAATTTTCCATCATCATCGCTGAGCTGGGGAAAAAGCCAAGTGCTGTAGTTTCAGAGTTGTCAGGTGCCGAGCAAGAAGTTTGCTGTTTTCGTTCATCCTCACGTGTAGGCACATTTGCGCACATGACGGGTTGTTTTGAACCGGCCATGTTTGGGTTTCACGTTTGTTGCAGGTTCATTGCTTGAAGCGGAGACTCGGGAGAGGTCTTCAGGAATCGCCTCGAAGGCTAAGATTCACTCTGCGAATCAACTTTGGCATACGGAGGTGGGGGTGGGGGGGGGAATCTCAAGATTCCTGGCCCCTGCTGGGTCCTTACTGCCAGCAGCAGACTTGCAGCCATCATGAGCCAGGTGGAACTCTCCCTGTTAGCAACATCCCACCAGCAACAAACGTGTTCGTGGGCTCGGGAATTTTGGTCGCAAGGTTAGTTAAACCAGAGAGAAGTGTTGCGACCATAACACATCGCATCTGCCATTGGCATACAACTCCTTCCTTGCTTCTTCCCTGACCACCCATTGTCAACGTCTTAGCCGTTGATGTTGAGTCCTTATTTTGTTATTGTACCTCTCCTGGCATCATCCGTCATGCTGTCGGGCCGCATGTTGATGTGAGGTCTAGCAACAGTAGGTTGCAGATCTTTGGTGACTGCAGGTGCAGATGTGAATGCGAAGGACCTCCGCTGTAGCTCATGTAACGCGGTTGTTGCTGTACCTCTCTCTGGTCGGATGTTTGGCAGAAACTTCCCTGTGTAGGAAAGCGGGTCTCCGCAGCCCGAGCCTACCACTCCCAGTGCGTAGCTTTTCATGCTCGTGTCCTCTGCTGGACATAGCAGGTATGGGAAGGTTGGCTGGGGCTAAAGCCTGACGTCATGACTTCTTTCATTGATGGAGGCTAAGTTGATCTACACAAGCCTAACTAGGGGTTTATAGGGTACAGGGTTCTGGTTCTGAGCTTCAACATCAGCTTGAGCAAGGCTCTAAGCAGTACAAGCCCCAGACCACCTGAAGCCATAGACCCTAGCACCCGAAGCTCAGAGCCTGAACTCTTTCTGCGGGCCTGTAGTCCTACCGACGACGTGTCAGAGCAAGGGAAGGGCCCAGAAGCAGAGCCCCCATGGGCAGGACAAGGACGGCAAAACACCGCTTCACTGTGCTGTCGATTTCGGCCAAGAGAGGGCTCTCCAGGTTCTTCTTGACGCAGGCGCAGCCGTTGCTTCCCGAAACTCACTTCTCGCCAGATAGGAAGAAGGTGTTTGGGGAGGCAAGTGGCAGACGTTCGGCGGGGCGGTAATGAATTGAGGGTGTTTGGGTTGTCGCATCTGCTGTTGCGGCATAGGTGCGCCGTGCAGCTTGATAGCTGGTTCTCCAACACCCCAGCTGAGAGTTCTGAATCTTAGACATCTGATGATGGGGCCGTGCAAGGGTTCTCAAAGAAGGGTCGCTCCAAATTTCCATCATCATCGCTGAGCTGGGGAAAAAGCCAAGTGCTGTAGTTTCAGAGTTGTCAGGTGCCGAGCAAGAAGTTTGCTGTTTTCGTTCATCCTCACGTGTAGGCACATTTGCGCACATGACGGGTTGTTTTGAACCGGCCATGTTTGGGTTTCACGTTTGTTGCAGGTTCATTGTTTGAAGCGGAGACTCGGGAGAGGTCTTCAGGAATCGCCTCGAAGGCTAAGATTCACTCTGCGAATCAACTTTGGCATACGGAGGTGGGGGTGGGGGGGAATCTCAAGATTCCTGGCCCCTGCTGGGTCCTTACTGCCAGCAGCAGACTTGCAGCCATCATGAGCCAGGTGGAACTCTCCCTGTTAGCAACATCCCACCAGCAACAAACGTGTTCGTGGGCTCGGGAATTTTGGTCGCAAGGTTAGTTAAACCAGAGAGAAGTGTTACGACCATAACACATCGCAGCTGCCATTGGCATACAACTCCTGCCTTGCTTCTTCCCTGACCGCCCATTGTCAACGTCTTAGCCTCTGATGTTGAGTCCTTATGTCATTGTACCTCTCCTGGCAACACCCGTCATGCTGTCGGGCCACATGTTGAGGTGAGGTCTAGTAGCAGTAGGTTGCAGATCTTGGTGAATGCAGGTGCAGATGTGAATGCGAAGGACCTCCGCTGCAGCTCATGTGGCGGTTCAGATCCTTACGCTGGGTTTAGGGTTTAGGATGTCTCCGGGCCTGCGGTTGTTGCTGTACCTCTCTCTCTCTCTCTCTCTCTCTCTCTCTCTCTCTGGTCGGATGACTTCCCTCTGTAGGAAAGCGGGTCTCCGCAGCCCGAAAGCCTGACATGTTAAGACTTCTTTCATTGATGGAGGCTAGGTTGATGCTGCATGTCTTACGAGATCGGTCTGGTTTCCTGTCAGTTTTGAAGGGAGGTTTTTGGACAAGTGACGCAGGGTCCAAGTTTCGAGTTCCAGCATCTGGGCCGTATTTTCGCTGAGGTTGGAAGGCGGCGGGTCTCTTTCGAGTCGTAAATCGTGGCCTTTGGACCCCAGCCCCTGAACCTCCGGAACCTAAGCATCCCCTAGATCCTAAGCCCTGAGTCCTGAGCTCTAGAGTGATGTCAATGTAGATGATGCGATGTTTGTGGACGAAAGAGACACCCGAACAAAATGCCTTCAGGCTCGAGCCCTGACCCCTAGTCCCCAAATTAATTTGCTTATGTGTTGTATTCAGGGTACAGGGTTTTGGTTCTGAGCTTCAACATCAGCTGAATAGCCCGAAAGGCCCTAAGCCTTATGAGCCCCAGACCACCTGAAGCCATACACCGTCGTAAACCGTAGCACCCGAAGCTCAGAGCCTGAACTCTTCTGCAGGCATCCCTAGGCCTTACATCCTAAACCCTAAATCCTGAGCTGTAGAGTGATGTAGATGATGCGCTGCTTGTGGGATGTAGAGAAGCCCCCTGCGCCCGAAGCCCCAATCCCCAATATATTTTTCCCATGTTTTGTGTTGAGCCCTAGTGAGGGGTTTAAAGGGCATAGTGTGTTGGTTCTGAGCTTCACCAGCTTAAGCCCCAGCTTCAACATCAGCTTAAGCCCCAACGCCCCAAAGGCCTAAGTATAAGCCCCACACCACCTGAAGCCATGCACCCCAGCACCCGAAGCTCAGAGCCTCAACTCTTTCTGCGGGTTGAGTCCTACCACCGAAGTTCAAGGGCAAGGGAAGGGCCCCGAAGCCGAGCCCCCCATGGGCAGGACAAGGACGGCTGGACACCGCTTCACTGGGCTGCCCGTCACGGCCACGCGCAGGCTGCCCAAACTCTTCTTCACGCAGGCGCAGATGTTGCTCCCCACAGCATTTGGCTTTCCAGATGAGGAGAAAGCTTTTGAGGAGGCAGGCAGCAGAGGTTGGGCGGGGCCCTTGTGAATTGAGTGTATTCGGGCTCTTACATCTGCTGTTGCGGCATAGGTGCACCGTGCAGCTTCATAGCCCCAGCTGAGAGTTCTGAATCTTCGACATCTGATCATGGGGCCATGCAAGGGTTCTGAAAGAAGGGTCGCTCCAAATCTCCATCATCATCGCTGAGCTGCGGAAAAAGCCAAGTGCTGTAGTTTCAGGGTTGTCAGGTGCCGAGCAACAAGTTTGCTTTTTCGGTCATCCTCATGTGTAGGCACATTTGCGCACATGACGGGTTGTTTTGAACCGGCCATGTTTGGGTTTCAGGAGGGTTCCAGGTATGGTTTGAAGCAGAGACTCAGGAGAGGTCTTCAGGAATCGCCTCGAAGGCTAAGATTCACTCGGCGAATCATTTTTGGCGTACGGAGGTGAGGGTGGGGGGGAATCTCAAGATTCCTGGCCCCTGCTGGGTCCGGGCTTCCCGCAAAAGACTTGTAGCCATCATGAGCCAGGTGGAACTCTCCCTGTTAGCAACATCCCACCAGCAACAAACGTGTTCGTGGGCTCGGGAATTTTGGTCGCAAGGTTAGTTAAACCAGAGAGAAGTGTTACGACCATAACACATCGCAGCTGCCATTGGCATACAACTCCTGCCTTGCTTCTTCCCTGACCGCCCATTGTCAACGTCTTAGCCTCTGATGTTGAGTCCTTATGTCATTGTACCTCTCCTGGCAACACCCGTCATGCTGTCGGGCCACATGTTGAGGTGAGGTCTAGTAGCAGTAGCAGTAGGTTGCAGATCTTGGTGAATGCAGGTGCAGATGTGAATGCGAAGGACCTCCGCTGCAGCTCATGTGGCGCTGAAGATCCTTACCTGGGTTTAGGGTTCAGGGTGGCTCCGGTCTTGCAGTTGTTGCTGTACATCTCTCTCTCTGGTCGGATGTGTGGCAGAAACGGCAAGATCTCCCCTTTGTAGTACTAATTGTCGCGAGCCTTGTTTCGGCACTATGTAGAAGACTCACTGCGTAAAACTCCATCACTTTAAGAGTTTTGCGCTTTTTTGTTTTGATTTTGAGCACGTGCTCTTTTTTGAGGCCGCTTTTCTGCATAACCGGGCACACCGGTGGCGTGGGTGGGTAGTCAGTAGTTGCGCGTTGTTGGTTGTGAAGTGTAAAATTGCGAATTGTGAGTGCAGTGGTTGTGCATTGGGTGGGGGTGGGTGGGTGGTCAGTGGTTGCACGCTGTCGGTTGTGAAGTGTAAATGCTCTGGTTGCGAATTGTGAGTGCAGTGGTTGTGCATTGAGTCGGGGGTGGGTGGGTGGGTAGTCAGTGGTTGCGCTCTGTCGGTTGTGAAGTGTAAACGCTCTGGTTGCGAATTGTGAGGGCAGTGGTTGTGCATTGAGTGGGGGGTTGGTGGGTAGTCAGTGGTTTCGCGCTGTCAGTTGTGAAGGGTAAACCTTAAATTTCAATGCTCTGACTACTACTACTACTACTACTACTACTACTACTACTACTACTACTACTGCTACTACTACTACTACTACTACTACTACTACTACTACTACTACTACTACTACTACTACTACTACTACTACTACTACTACTACTACTACTACTACTACTACTACTACTACTACTATTGCTACTACTTCTTCTACTACTACTTCTATTACTCGTACTGATACTACTACTGCTGCTACGACAACGACTACTACTACTTCTACTACTGCTACTGCTACCGCTACCGCTACCGCTACCGCTACTGCTACTGCTGCTGCTGCTGCTGCTGCTGCTGCCACTACTACTACTACTACTACTACTACTACTACTACTACTCCTACTGCTACTGCTACTGCACCTGCCACTGCGACTGCTACTGCTACTGCTACTGCTACTGCTGCTGCTACTGCCACTGCTACTGCTACTGCTACTGCTACTGCTACTGCTACTGCTGCTACTACTACCACTACTCCTGCTGCTGCTGCTACGGCTTGGGTTTACGGTCTAGCGAGTTAGGGTTTGGGATTTAGGTTTGGCGCTCTGCGGGCTTAGGGTTTAGGGTTTAGTTCAGACGTCTGGGACTCGAGTTGGAGATTCTGGGCAGGTTTTGAGGTGTGGGGCCGTTTAGGGTTTGCACAGGTTGTGATGGACTTTTATGCAACTTTTAGCCTTTATGGCGAATGTCGCTGCATAACGGTCCCCCCTGGCCGCATAAGACAGCCACTTCCGCATAAACTTCTGCATAATTATCGCGCGACTTCTGCATAAGCGCGATAATTATGCAGAAGTTATGCGGAAGTTAAGAGCTAACAAAGATTACAACTTCCGCATATATGCAGAAGTTGGGTTTTGGGTCGTGCGATAAACTGCATAGGCCCTGGTGGGTTATGCAGAAATTATGCGGAAGTTATGCGGAAGCGGCTGTCTTATGCAGCCTGAGGGCCTTTATGCAATTTATGGCGAACGTCGCTGGAGCTGCCTATGGCATTGTCCGGCTGGTACGTAGCACGCGGATGTAGAACAGGGTTCTGCTGGGCCGTGGCGGGCAGGGGAGTCTATAGCATGCCGCCGGGGGCACCCTAATTATCGCATTTTCGTGTCTCGAAAATCATTTTGGACGACTTTGCACCTGCAATTTCGGCTTTAGTCGTCTTTCCACCTGCAAAATCCTATGGTAAGGTAAGCAGGTCCCAACCCGCAGCCGAAACAAGCTCGCGACAATTAGTACTCTGTAGGAAAGCGGGTCTCCGCAGCCCGAGCCTACCATTCCCAGTGCGTAGCTTTTCATGCTCTTGTCCTCTGCTGGACATAGGGCAGGTATGGGGCAGGTTGGCTGGGGCTAAAGCCTGACATTTCACGATTTTTGTATTTATGGAGGTTAGGTTAATGCTGCATGTCTTTCGGGAGCGGTCTGGTTTCCTGTCAGTCTTGAAGGGAGGTTTTGGACAAGAGACTGTGGAGGGTCCAAGTTTCGAGTCCCAGCGTCTGGGCCGTATATTCGCTGAGGTTGGAAGGCGGCGGGTTTCTTTCGAGTCGTAAATCGTGGCCTTTGCACCCCAGCCCCTAAACCTCCGGAACCTAAGCATCCCCTAGATCCTAAGCCCTAAGTCCTGAGCTCTAGAGTGATGTCAATGTAGATGATGCGATGTCTGTGGACGAAAGAGACACCCGAACAGAATGCCCTCAGACTCGAGCCCTGACCCCTAGTCCCCAAATTGAGTTTCCCATGTGTTGTACTCAGGGTACAGGGTTTTGGTTCTGAGCTTCAACATCAGCTGAATAGCCCGAAAGGCCCTAAGCCTTATGAGCCCCAGACCACCTGAAGCCATACACCGTCGTAAACCTTAACACCCGAAGCTCAGAGCCTGAACTCTTCTGCAGGCATCCTTAGGCCTTACATCTTAAATCCTAAATCCTGAGCTGTAGAGTGATGTAGATGATGCGATAGAATCCCCCCAAAATGCCCTCAGACCCCAGTCCTGGACCCCAAACCCGAAGCTCCAATCCCCAATTTACTTTCCACATGTTTTGTATTCAACCATAGGGTTCTGGTTCTGAGCTTTGACATCAGCTAGCCCCAAAGCCCCAAAGGCTTAAGTATAAGCCCCAGACCACCTGAAGCCACAGACCCCAGCACCCGAAGCTGAGAGCCTGAAACTCTTTCTGCGGGCTTAGTCCGATCACCGAAGTCCAAGGGCAAGGGAAGGGCCCTGAAGCCGAGCCCCCCCATGGGCAGGACAAGTACGACCGGACACCGCTTTGCCACGCTGCCATTTTCGGCCACGAGAAGGCTGCCCAAACTCTTCTTCACGCAGGCGCAGATGTTGCTCCCCACAGCTCCTGGCTTTCCAGATGAGGAGAAGGTGTTTTTGAGGAGGCAGGCAGCAGAGGTTAGGCGGGGCCCTTGTGAATTGCATGTGATTTGGGCTCTTACATCTGCTGTTGCGGCATAGATGCACCGTGCAGCTTCATAGCCCCAGCTGAGAGTTCTGAATCTTAGACATCTGATGATGGGACCATGCAAGGGTTCTGAAAGAAAGGTCGCTCCAAATCTCCATCATCGTCAGTGAGCTGAGAAAAGCCAAGTGCTGTAGTTTTGGGGTTGTCAGGTGCCGAGTAAGAAGCTTGCTTTTTCGGTCATCCTCATGTGTCGGCACGTTTGCGCACATGACGCGTTTCTTTGGATCGGCCATGTTTGGGTTTCACGAGGGTTCCAGGTTCATTGTTTGAAGCAGAGACTCAGGAGAGGTCTTCAGGAATCGCCTCGAAGGCTAAGATTCACTCGGCGAATCAACTTTGGCATACGGAGGTGGGGGTGGGGGTGGGGGGGAATCTCAAGATTCCTGGCCCCTGCTGGGTCCTTATTTCCAGCAAAAGACTTGTAGGCATCATGAGCCAGGTGGAGCCATCCTTGTCAGCAACATCTCCCATCATCTCCCCAGCACAGCCAACGTGTTCGTTGGCTCGGGAAATTTTGTCGCGAGGCTAGTTAAACCAGGGAGAAGTGTTACGACCATGACGCATCGCAGCTGCCATTGGCATACAACTCCTGCTTTGCTTCTTCCCTGACCACCCATTGTCAACGTCTCAACCGTTGATGTCGAGTCCTTATGTTCTTGTACCTCTCCTGGCAACACCCGTCATGCTGTCGGACCAAATGTTGAGGTGAGGTATAGTAACGGTTGGTTGCAGATCTTGGTGAATGCAGGTGCAGATGTGAATGCGAAGGACCTCCGCTGCAGCTCATGTGGCGGTGAAGATCCTTATGCTGGTTTTAGGGTTTAGGGTTTAGTGTGTCTCCGGTCTTGCGGTTGTTGCTGTACCTCTCTGTGGTCGGGTGTGTGGCAGAAACTTCCCTCTGTAGGAAAGCGGGTCTCCGCGGACCGAGCCTACCATTCCCCTTGCGTAGCTGTTCATGCGGTTATCTTCTGCTGGACACAGCGCAGGTATGGGCCGGTTGGCTGGGGCTAATGCCTGACATGTCATGACTTTTATTGATGGAGGCTGGCTTGATGCTGCATGTCTTTCGAGAGCAGCCTGGTTTCCTGTCAGTTTTGAAGGGAGGTTTTTGGACAAGAGACTGTGCAGGGTCCAAGTTTCGAGTTCCAGCATCTGGGCCGTATAGTCGCTG